CCTTCGGGAAAGCTCCTTCGGGAAAGCTCCTTCGGGAAAGCTCCTTCGGGAAAGCTCCTTCGGGAAAGCTCCTTCGGGAAAGCTCCTTCGGGAAAGCTCCTTCGGGAAAGCTCCTTCGGGAAAGCTCCTTCGGGAAAGCTCCTTCGGGAAAGCTCCTTCGGGAAAGCTCCTTCGGGAAAGCTCCTTCGGGAAAGCTCCTTCGGGAAAGCTCCTTCGGGAAAGCTTGTCTATCAGACAATAGTATAGTCTTGGACTATTGAAACGATTCTTACGACTGTTGCACTTATTGTGTTGACATGGTAAGGATCGTCTGCGATAACGCATGACTGATATTGCCATGTTATGCATAACCACTTTTAGAGGGCTTGTCATGCATTTTAACAAAGACCATCTCTTTGGACTTTACGCACAGTACATGACAATGTGCATACCATCCAGTACCGCTCTGGGCAGACCAGCTCCCTAACATCTACTGAACTCGATCCCAGTGCAGTAGCGACAACAACAGTACGATCAAACGCACATACGAGCATGGGCACACTTAACATTAAGGATGAGCTCAACCCTGCAGTCGACATGGACCGGGATAAGGCGGGTCCGCCACAGGCTGGTCCGGAGGATTGCAGTCCGAGTACGGCTGAAATTGAACCACACTTTCGCACCAGCCAGGCGCATCAACTTACTGCACGAGTGGCTGACGGAGACTCCTCATTATCAGCATCATCTTTAGGAGGGTCCACATGTGGTAGAATATTATCAGGCAGTAGTCCACTATTGCTATCCCTGTCGAATGAGTTAGAAATATCCTAAATGTTGGTATAGAGCGGTATCTTAGTGTCACATTTTGAGATACCGCACCTTCACACCATTATCGCCGGAAATTTCCACACTTCCACTCGGACCGACTTTAGCATCTGCCGGTTCCGGAGCAGTAGGAGCCTCCGAGCTCGAAGTCGTGATAGTAGTGGTGGGCGCCTAGATGAGAATCATTTGGAATGACCATTAAAGTTTTAATACACAGAATACTACGGATCAAATGCTCACATGGTCACGATACATTCTCATCAGTATAAACCTGCTTCCCATAACCCGCACAGGTTCGACCCTCACACCCTATTACATTAAAAGCTGGCGCTTCCGTAATTAACTGAGTCGTTTCCAAGCTGAGACTATCCGAATCTGGTTTATGCTTCTGAACAATCAGTAGCATTCAATTGTTCCTTTCTGAACCCACTTCACCTTCTTCCTAAACAATGTGTGATTCCGTAAGAACTTTTCGAGGCTTCGCAGTCTCCAACGCCCAGAATGGCCGACCTCAGCTGAGCGCAGTGCGTTATTACAAGACTTGTGCGAGCAGCAACAGCTGCTACACCCAGCGACCCTACACACAGAGCTGCGATGAAAGCGAGGTGTGGTATGAGCCTACGATAGCAGTACGCCTACTAGGGCTGCTCCTATTGAAAGAATCATCACCATATTGCGGAGTAGAGCAGACATGATGTGAAAAGAAGGCCTATTGGATTCCACTACTCACCATCCTACGAGGAGAATGTGAGAGCGCCTTAGACAAAATCATAAGGCGCCTTATATCCCAATGGAACTACCGAGCGGTCTTTATGTAGGAGGAATCATATCGTGCAGATCAGTACAAGCAACGATGAGAGTAGACCAAGTCTATTATAGTTAACACCATCTCGAAGAAAGCCGAGGATTACAGCCACGCACTCATCGCTTCTGTGCCATAGATATCCCCGCACGAATGCACCGGTTGCGGAGGAGCATTAGAGGAGTATCAATCTTGTAACGACTTGGAATTCCTCATCAGGGACGATTGCGATCGCGCTCGCCCTGAAGACGCACGTTGAGTTTTTGATCGTTGGTTGACATAGGCTTACACACGTACAGGAGATAACGTGTTACTGTTCGAAGCTGTGTGGGTGAGCTGATTCAAAGGCGTCACTATATAATCGTTTGGAAAGCAACTTCACCTACACCTTTTCCACTTGAAGTTAGAAAACTAGGACCTCAAGTAAGGCGTTCTCAGTAGTTCACAAGTTGAATCAATGCATGCCATACTAGCATTCCTAGCGCTATACTCCACACTAGCCACTATAGGCTCCGCAATAGACTCATCTCGGACATCACACAGAGGACGATCAAACAACAGGATCAGGACGGTGAGTCCGAATGCTACTATCATGATTATGCTGAATGCTTTATACTCAGCGTCGTTTGATGTACGCACCTGCTGGCCGGATGGGACGCTCACGGTGGTACCGCAATGTTGCTTCTGGTCACTCTCATAATTAACCATAACAACGAGGGGAAGATTACAAAGACTAGTTTGACTTCAATTACAGCTTGCATGCTATAGTCAATGGTCAGCTGAGTGCCTTTCGAGCTGATTGAATCAGTTCAAGTCGGCCCCGGCTTCAACATGACATCTGTACCAAGTCTTAATGTCAGTGGTGCTCAATGAGGCTTGCGTTTAGTATCGGTTAGAGGAGTTTGATCCAGGAAGGACTGGGGTCGCTGACTGCGTTAGCAATTTTCATAGTAGTTGCCCTGAAAGTGGACTTTATGGTGTAACAGATCCGCAGAAGGTGTATAAGCAAGAGAAAGTATCACGCTAACGATATAAAACATTGTGCCGAGTACGCCATGAAACAGCTGCTAGTCGGCCACTATTGATTGAATTGAGACGGACTTTCCCAATTTCACAACAGCGTAACACAAATGTGTCCGAATATACTATAATCTCCATAGTATCTATAATCTCCATCTCATATCTCCTCTGAGTCATAGACTAGGACTGCTGATGAGAATCAAAGGACGTGTGCTAAGAATTACGCAGGAGTTATGTTGACTACGTCAACCTTACTCGAGAGCAACTTGTATTCGATCTGGGTGCAGGAAAGGCGAGGAAGGATGGGAGGAACGATGGCGGCTTGCTGAAGATATCAGGCAAAAGCATAGCACAAGACTGGTGAACTCAACTCGCAAGAATGCGACGAGAAACTCTGCATACTCCTATTCAAACATTTCAATACCTTCCTTCTTGATTGCTGAAGGTCCACGTTGAGCAGCGAGTCGAGAGCTCCGACGAGTCCTCGTTTCCGCAGGAAGCTCATCCTTCACCACGACGATTTCGGCCTCACTTGAAGTGGACTTCCTGTTCGTCACCTTAGCCTTGCTCCCTGCACTTCGCTCAACTTTGGCTCTGTCATTCACTGCTGCTGCTCCTGCTGACTTGGCAGCTACCCTCTTCGCCTTGGCTACTATGGGAGGTGCCGTCTGGCTGGCGGTGGACTTGAGAGGTCTCTTGCGAGTTACAGACAAGTCGATGGGCGACCCACCAGAGATTGCCGTTGTGCTAGATGTTTCCGTAGTGATGAATATGTTGATAGTTGGTGACTTCATAGTTCCTAAGACAGCTCTGCGAGCAAGCTCCACAGAGTCCTCCCAAGCATCCCTATGGAAGAGGCACTTATCGCCAACATCATCGACATACGTGAGGCCGATATTAGTTTCGACAGCTAATTCCGGCCATTGATCCACGACAATATCCGTTAGCGTGGTATATGTTTGCGGGGTATCAGACGCCAGACGTCTGCTTTTCTGTCCTCGGTAGTGGAACTTGAGGACGATTTCTACCATTGGGATCACCTTCAAGTAACTGCCATACGTCAACTTTTATCTCTCTCTCTCTTGGAGTAGCGCCGGTGATTCATACTGCCATAATGCTCATATGCTTGTACACAATTTGTCCCACACGCCTACGTTGAGTTTTGTTCTAGGAATGTGGCTATAGTAGGTGCTTCAATATGTCCACGGCAATCGACGCCGTGCGCGCGTTTGGTGAGTGGGAGCTCGCGTTGTCCGATCTATGCTTAATTTTCTCTCAGGACGACCTCTCGCCACAGGATAACAGTGTTGAGAGCAACAGCATTGAACAGCGCCAATCAAGAATCGGGGTGAAGAAGCCAATGTGAGAAAACTTGCACATGGTCAACTACATTTGTTTGTGACAGTGGGCCTGTTTCATAGGGGCAAAGTGCGCCTTAAACTTAAGTAACGTCTCAAGTATATCTTGAATAACTCCTGAATTCAAGGCGCCTTAAATTGCGCATCCTCGTGAAACAGGCCCAATATGAAAATTCTGAGGTGATTGCGGGAAATTCTCAATGGTTTCCGTACACTCCTACCCGAATTTGTACACAAACTTATATAATTAGTGAGTGAATTTTTTCAACTCAGTTGAGGAAAGCAATCATATGTTCCAACACAGACAGAGTGGGAAAATATGCACATGGCCTACCACATGTGCTGGCGACAAGATAGAAATTCTGAGATTCTGGAGTTGTGACAATTTCTTATTGTTTTCTGTATACGTCTATCCGAATTTGTATGTAAACTTCTACAATTAGTGAGGAGACTCTCAGACTCAGCTGAGCAAAGCCTATTCCTACCGCTGTCTACTCAGAGTAGTCGATGAAGGGGTAGTAGACTCTACTACCCCTAATCTTCTCTAATGTCGTGATGGCGTTGCGGGCCGTATGCGGACATCGACATTGCAATGGATCGATGCTCAAATCAGACATTGAAACTTGAAAAGGCTTGGAGATCGAGGCTTTCAGTTGATTTCCCTCTTTCCGCCGCCTTTCTCGCCGCGAATTTATCCTGCCGCTTAATTTTTGTCGTGTGCCGTTGAAGCCTCCCAGTGGCTGTATTCTCAAGAGCTGTTTTCGCAGTTCTCGACTGAACTCGAAAGGCAAGGGTGATCATGAATATCGATTCTAGACTAAAGATGGAAAACTGCCGGGAAACTTTTTCGAGTTTCTGAAAATAAACAGACGTATAGATAATCTATAATAGACTCCGAACACCTCAACTGGGTAATATATCATATCTCATCGAGAGCCTTACCTCAGATACGACACTGCGAATCATCCGCAACAAAGTTGATATAAAAATGCGAAAAAATATCAATTCCTTCATATTCAATAGTATAGTGCGGCATTGAGTAGAGAAGAACGGTTCTTAGCGGGCAGGTCGTAGAGAACGGTGGAAATGGAAGATCCATACAGGCCTCTATCTTTAACGAGGCGGGTCTTCTCAAGGACTTGCTTCTGTGACTGATAGACATAGTCTTCGAAATGGCCGTTCGAGAAAGGAAGTGCGCCGCTAGCAACCAGTTCAGCATAAGTTCGAGGAGGTTGGCGTGCGCCTGGTGAAAACCCCAGAGCCTCTACCTGAAATATAACATCGTAGTTGAATGCGGACATCCCTGTCAAATCAGTATCAGCAACGGGCGATTCCCGCCCAAAGGAGTCCATGGCTTACTGATAGTTCGATTTTTGATGCTGGTACCCCGAGTGTGAGCAGACGCTGAACGGCTTGGCGAGCGAAATCCACATTAACCATGTTATCCGAAAAAAGTGTCGGGTGTCCGAAGTGAATCGAAACGGTATCGAACAAGCGTTCCAGTCTGGCTGATTCTACGTACTTCCACAGGGGTGAGTCCAAGGGCTCCGCCCCGAAACTGAGACAAACTATACTGCGTCGTGGATCAAGCTTACGGGCCAGCCGTTGCCTCTACACCCCTCCACATATTCTTAGCATAACCGGTTCTTCGACTCGTGCACAGCCACCACAACGAGTATCATCTTGCGGCTCAGGGAGGTATGTACTTATGCTTTACCCGATATGACCTCCAAGTTTCAGGGCCTAACTCTTCGTAGTTAGTGAGAAGTCGAAGACCGGTAAAACGTTTTCTCCACATATTCTTAGCATACACGTGTTAAAATTGCGCCTCAAAATACCAACTTTTACTCGGGGAGTATATCTATAACTCCGCTCCTGATCTAATGCTATACATCAACAGAAAGAGAATCGTTCATAATGGTATCCCTCCACGTTTCATTCTCATATTTGGAGGCATCCAGCCAAAACTGAGCAGGGCAGCTGATGAGCACCAAAACGCGCCGAAATAAGGTGTAAAACCCGCCATGCAGGGAGCCGTCGGAGGTCAAGACGCACTAGCAGGCTAGTGCCTCCAAATATGAGAGTGAAACATGGAAGGATACCATTATGAACGATTCTCTTTCTGTTGATGTATAGCATTAGATCAGGAGCGGAGTTATAGATATACTCCCCGAGTAAAAGTTGGTATTTTGAGGCGCAATTTTAACACGTGTATGCTAAGAATATGTGGAGAAAACGTTTTACCGGTCTTCGACTTCTCACTAACTACGAAGAGTTAGGCCCTGAAACTTGGAGGTCATATCGGGTAAAGCATAAGTACATACCTCCCTGAGCCGCAAGATGATACTCGTTGTGGTGGCTGTGCACGAGTCGAAAAACCGGTTATGCTAAGAATATGTGGAGGGGTGTACACAAGCATACTAAGAACGGCTATTCTGAGAGCAGAAACGATGGGCGATTTTACTCACCCGATCGACGCTCTGACAGGCTTCCCAGACCTGGTCTCCAGCTTACGGCTTATGATCCACCCAACTCTTTGCGCGATTTGCCAGAAGAACTGTTGACAGTTTCCTACCCAAACCCAGAACCTCATCTCCTCTACATTATATTGAGTGATATAAGACTGAATCTGAGATTCGAAGGTAGCAAAGCTGAATATATCGGGGGAGCATTCATCATAAGGGTAGCTGTCTGTGCGCAACAAAAGGGCTGTACCAGTGCCGTATTTTCTGGCACAATCGGCAATTTCGTTGACCATTGTGATGTTGCTGACCTCCGAGAGAACAGAACCATCGTTGAGCAATGTGGTGCTCTCGAGAAAGAATTTACTGACCCCCATGGAGAACATTTCACAAATGGTGTCGGTGGGAGCGAGCCACTCTTGACTGCTGATAGACACCATCCTTCTAGCATAAGATGGAAGGGAGACGAGGAGGAGGACGATAATAGGAGAGCTGGCTAGCATCTAGGAGATGTAGCAGTACAGACTGACCTGCCCGCCCGCCCCAGATTGTAGACAGATTGTAGACGCGGCTGCGCGTGAATATACAATAAAGGGTGAAGTAGTGATTGGGACTCGCTCCCGGGTGCCTCCTCTGACTGCATGCTTGACTTATGATCGGATATATTGGAAAAGGATTTAATGAGTTATACCGAGATTCCCCGTAGCACGCCTACACACGGGCCTTGCACCCTGTGCAAATTTGCACGCATGCGCAAGCGGGGTATCCATCAACACTCTGGTAAAGAAGATTGACTATACGGTAGACAATAGACCAGGGATGGGCATTCGCCTCTGGGCTGATCCCGGCCGACCCGCACTCGTCTATTGAATAGACGAGATTACATTGTAATCATTACAGGGACAATACCGAGTCGGTATTACCGACTAACATAAGAGGGAGACATAATCGTACCCAATCAGTAGGTATCTATCAACGGTTGTACTTGTATACAGATTATCATGAAGCGAAAGCACAGAAAATGTGGAAATGACGGAGCATGCTCGCTCGCCCCGCGAATACGTAGCGGTTGTTCCTCGGGGGCATCAAAACAGTGATTCGGCGGGCCGTCTATACCTTCTGTAATATTCATAACGTTCGAGAAAAATGGATTCGAGACTAGCGCATTTGCGGCCTGGACTAGCCTAGGCCGAACATGGTCGAGTCACCTTGCGCGCGCATTTGTGTAGCGGACTTGGATGATTACCAACCTGGTTGTTAACACAAGAACCGGGCATTTCTGCGGCTTTTATTGCAAGCAGATCGCGAAGTTATCCTCGGGGGAAGAAGGATTGAAAAATCAAGGAGAGAAGGAGAAGAACCCAACTACGATCTTGAGCCAAGATGGCTACAGTCGTCTTACAAGCACTAAGGTCCCCAAGGCTTGTGCTAACTAAGCCAGCCTTTGTCTAAGGGACAAAGGCAAGCGTAAGTAGCTTGAGCAATAGTCATCGATGCTCCAGGACTCCTGGGCAAGGAACATCGATGCGAACATCGTAGTTCAAGCACTAGTAGAAGTCAAACCAGTCTAAATCACCAAGTCTAGTGCAGACGAGAACTAGTAGTTCTAACAGAGCCAACTAGAACGAGTAGTTCTAAGCACGCTAGTTATAACCACATAGAACAAGTAGTTCAATAGTTCTTTTTAATACAATAAAAGCAGTAGTTCAATAGTAGCCGTTTCAGAATAGTCGTTTCGGATCCTGCACTGGGCGCACGTGGGCTGACGGCTCGCGCAACAACTCAATATGAAACTGCCTAGCGGAGCGAAGCGATCGCTACATTTGCATTACAGCGGAGCGAAGCGATACGTATTTGTAACTTTCTCCGATCGTATATTGTGATCATAATTCGGTCAACTGTAGTGATTGTATTTTACCGTGACAATGCAAATTTTCATAAAGACGCTGACTGGACGGAAAAGTAACTTCAACTTCGAGCCGGACAATACAGTGAGGCATGTGAAGGAAGCCTTACAAGAGAGAGAAGGAATCCAGGTAGTGAAGGGTATCTTGAGGTTGAGCGTTTAAGATACAAAATAGGTCCAGATGAGTACCATTTTGGCAGGTGGAACAGATAAGGTTAATATACTCTGGAAAACAGATGAGTGATGATTGCAAGTTATGCGATTATAATGTAAAGCCCGGCTCGACCATCCACATGGTACTTCAACTTCGCGGAGGCCTATGAACAGGTACTACTACTACTACTACTACTACTACTACTACTACTACTACTACTACTATCACTATTAGTATTTTCCACAATAGTTAATTATTTTTTCCCTTTTCAGATGTATGTTGAATACTTTGCATATTTCTGCTCATCTACTGTTGTTGTTGTTTAGTTCGAGTCTTATGCAATTCATAACGTACCATTTTTCCCTCACATTGTCTTTGATCAGTTAGTGTTAAGTGGTTACTATGGTTACAGTTACTGGTTAGTGAGAGACTTCTTTGAAGTAATCTCTCGTTTGTCAAGTGACTATTACTAAGCTTATCAAAATCTCATCGT